CGCTCTATAGATGAAAAATACCCGTAAGCGAGAATTCTTTTATTTAAAAATTGTTTCATCTACTTTTACAATTTAGATAATTACTTGACATTGTGGGAAATCGTCATTTTCAAACTGAAATCCGCTTTTCCATTGTCCATGATATCCGGAATGCTAAAAGAAACGTTTACTCATAATTAAAGAATTCTTCCTTTTCTCCGGAAGTGTATGCAAAAAAAAGACGTCCCCAGAAATGACTTCTTTTCCGCCTTTAATTGACTGTATTTTAGTATTTTTTTCTCTGAAAAAAAAACAGCAGGAAAAAGGAAAATCTAAATAACACATTTACTCTAAGAACTGGTACTTTATCATTTATTTTATATTGCAACATAAAATTTGTACAAATAATAATTCGTAATAAAAAATAATAATCATCGCCTTAACTTATAGAATAAAATTCTTGTTCTTTCGCATTTATCGCATGCCGAATAAAGTTTTGCGTACGTGAATCTTTTACAAGTGAAATAATAATATATACAAAATACGTACATGGAAGAAAATGTGTATTAAAATTATTTTTAATTATGAAAAAATTACAATAATTAGTCGTACTATTGAGAATTTATTTTTAGAGTGTAAAGAGAAGTCTTTTTTTTTGTAAAATTTAATTCGATGTGGAAAATAAAAATTCTTGTATACTATGATTTGTAATTATTGTAATATTTCCAAATATGATTTTCGATGAAATAGGGTGTGAAGCAATGAAATGTTTTGTGAAAAATTAATAAACATTTTCTTCAATGTAATCAACTATATTTCGACACGGAATCGAGCTTCGGCGTATCCGTCTTCTAGTATTGAAGATGAGGGCATTTTCGTGTTTCTTTTTTTTTTCTTCTTAAAAGCTAGTTGACGATGTTCCCTATTTAATTAGTGTCTCTTCTGTTTTCACAGTCTGACTGTATCTTATACAAAGAAGAATCTCAGCTTTTGCAAAAGATCCTTGTATTTATACTTTGCTTCGTTTCTCTTAATTTCGCTCACGGCTCTTAATTACCTTCGAGTTAAATATTTGCATGAGTCATTTAGCGCGTTTATAACGTTACTCTCTCTCTTACTCTCTCTCTCTCTCTCTTTTATTCCTTTATGTACATAATTCTTTGCGATTTACACAAGCTTGTTCGGACGATGACGCAAGGGAATATAAGAAAGGGATCATCGTGTCATAGTTTGCAGAAAAAGGGTTAAAAAAAACAAACAAAAAATTTGATCCTCTTTTGATCCTACTTTTTTCAGTTATGCATGTATTCAATTTTGCCAACGCTCGTTAAATTTCATCACACTCACTCATTTCCTTCTGAATGATCCTTTATGCAAAAATATGTCATTTATCTCTCCGATCCATAAGTCCTCTCATACTCTTTATGAAATTTAATTGGTCGTTCAATCAAGTACCAAAAAGCTGTTCAAGCACTAGATATAAATGTGTCCAGTTTTTGGCCCTTGATTGTTTTCTGTGGTGGTGAACGGGTCAAGTGAATACTCTAAGGGTAATAAATCCTCGTGGAGCAATATATAAGCTTGTCTCGTTTGTCTATTCCTGAAAAATATCTAATCCACCAAGATCTATTCCTTACGAGAAACGTTCAATCATTGACACCTTATGGAGATTCATTGATTTTTGGAAGTATTCCATTTCCCGTTCATGGATCAAATATTGTAATCGATCCTAGAACGGGAAATGCGTCTGTAATTTTTTTTTTTTTTTCATACAGAGAACACGAATTCTCCTTTGGTGAGGAAATTTTGTTTTCCATTTTCTCACCAAATGAGGCACAAGTTGTAACGAGCATTGGCTGCACTCATTTCAAGAAGGGACGGTGATGCTATCAATGATATATGCTTTCCTTTCATCTTTAATTCTCATTTTACGATTTATGTGTGCGTTAGTCCAAATTAAACTGGACTTTAAAAGTGCAACACTATTACAATCCGAAAGAGTTGCTCTCATAAGAAATATTTCTTGCATTTAGAAAGTAGAAAAAAAAATACAATCCAAAATGGAGCAAGAACCCTTTCAGATGTAAAAGTGATTAATAAAAAGGAAGAAGAGAGACATTTATATTTTAACGCTACGAGCAAATGAGATCACATGTAAAATAATGCATCAATCGGAAATTGATAATCATTTTCCGATTAAGTATTATAGTATAGAAAAATAAAAAAAAAAACTTTAACAAATTGTGTCAGATCTTCTACAAATATTGCATATCTAAAATAAGACACAAACACAGCGCACATGAGAAGATTGCGTTTCTACTTTTAAAAATTCGAAAAAACACCCGAGACAATAGGACAAAAAAAAATTTACATCAATTGGCTCGAGTTTCGATGAGTATAATTTTTTCTTCTTCCAAGATTCACTAAGTACAGAGCTGAAGATTTGAAATAATTTTCCTGGTGTTATTCCAAATCAAACACTAGAAAAATTTAACATGTTTAACAAATTAGAGTATTCAAAGGAACGCATTTTGATAGTTAAGTACTCTGTAGCCCTAGAAACTATATATACAGGCTAAATGCGTTTTATCGGAATTGACGGGAAATGCAAATCCCGGATGATGAATCGCTCTCTCAAAGATAATCACTTCAGCTCCGCTTTTGAGAGCAAATTACTAATTCTTGTGTACAAGTACATATAACCTTTTCTTTTAAATTATTTTTGTTTTTACATAAAAATTATTTCGCTTAAAATACTAATCACGACACATTGATAAATATATCTCTTAAGATCACACAAACACGGGATCACAATCATTCATCTTGTTTTTTTTTTTTTTTTTTGTAGACACGCCGTTGTCTACGATATAAAAGTATAAAATACAATATACCGGCAAGTCGTTTCAAGCGTCTGTCGTCGACTTTACACAAATTCTTAGTGAATCATTTCTTTCGATGATATTTCTCTGAGATCCACGCAATATTTCGTTGAATTAAAGAAAATGAATTCGATTCAATATTTTCTTAATGTCAGAGGACAAAATCTCATTAATAAATTTTACAAATCAATTTATAAAAAAATCTGTATAAATTAAAAAATATATACTTAATCTAAATTAGAGAGATAAAAATTGACTAGCTTGGGTGGGGGGGGGAGGAATATCGATTTGTCCTGACATTTGAATTTAGGAAAAAAAAAACTCATTTGGAATTGAAATAATAAAAAAATTCGTTGCGTCCTAACGAATTAGAAGATCGTACCTTTCGTGTGCAATCTTGCAGAGGTAGATAAATCATTAGGACGGCGAGTAGTTTGCCGGTGGCAAATGAAATTAATTAATCTGGAGTTTCTCTCGCTTCGCAATTTCGAATCCCGTTTAATTCGGGGCGCTAAAACCCAAGCAGTAACTTGATTGATCAACGAAACGCTCTACTGACATGACCTTTAGAATCATCCATATAATTACGTACATTTGTTTAATTTCTAAATATATTTTTAAAGATCTTTAATTTCTTTCCTCTTTTGTATAGTTTTTTTTTTACTTGGAGGAATAATGGAATTTTAATCTCATGTTCACCAAATATTACACGCTAAAGGACTCTCGCTTCCTTTTGTTTTGTTTCACACATATATGGCCTCTTGTGGCGTCGTCAGCCTTTTTTCTTCCTAAAATGTCGTCTGTTCATCTAAACGAGTGACTTTTTGTTTTTGAAATTTATAAATACAATATAATACACTAATCGTCCGATGACGATTGATAGATCAAAAAATACACGCACTATGTACATTTGACGAACGCTTTCTTCTCGAATTTCTCTTTAGTATTGCATTGACGATGTCGCCACGTGTTTCGGGGTCGGTATTATCATTAGGCCCGACCGCCGATGTTTGCCCTCACAATTGTTCCGAGAGAATGAAAACGTGAACAGCCTGAATGTTGTCGTTGTGTAGAATTTTATTTGGCGTCTTGAAAGTGACTCTTGACTCCTCAAGACTTTCAATGGCAGTGTGCTCGCAGCCCTCGGCCTCAGCTCTCTCGCCTTCGGGTGCTCGAGAATTTCTTTCGGTTGACGCTGAACCATGGGCTTCGATAACGTCCGGTATTGATGAAAGTGTCATTGGCGAATGTCGATCGTTTCGCAATCTAGGACTAATTCTACCAAGGCAGTCTGGTTTCATTTCCTTGCAATCCTGAGTGTCATTTGGTGTTTCAATTGAGGTTCGCGAACACGGCCTCGACAATGGTAAAGGCGAATTTAACGTTGAGAAAGACGTCTTTTCGGAAACGTCTTTCACAACATTACTATCTAATGAATGATGGCACAGGTCCGTGGACTGTGTCTCAATCGGTGCGAATTTGGTCGTGGACCTTAATGCGTTGGCCGATTTTTGAAAACGAGGATGAAGATTCGAGGACACAGTGGGAGATCCAACCTCGTCAGATGATTCGAATGATCGTCGCTTCTCTGTCTCGAGTGGTGAACGTGATAATCTTGGACTGGGAATTTTTTTACTATTCTCCGCACCCGTCAAATGACGATCAACAATCGAACGACGATCCAATTCCGCAATTGATGGAATTTCATCCGAGGCACAGTTTACTTGATCCGGGACTTCAGGTACAGCTTCAAGTAATCCCGATCTGTCGACACGTCGCGATAATGTGCCAGAATGACTGAGATTTTCCGCTCCAGTCAAATGTCGCTGTCGACCTCGCGGTGGTTCCAAGTCGGAAATTTCGAGTAGTCCAGATCTATCGACACGACGCACGGATGTTGTTGATGCGCCATCAAGATCACTTCCAGGTACGATGTGATGATTCCGCAAACGAGGGGGCAATGTGGCGTAATAGTTGACACCTGATGACGTCAAATCTGTCCCGTACATTGACCTGCAGGGTCGATGAATATGAGGATGCACCACTATTCCTGGATTCGTTGGAGACGTACTTCCTGGGTTTTCAATAACAATCTCCATGTGGTGGTGCTGGGGGGCTTGCTGCTAGAGCCAAGTTTGTGTGTTTCCGGCCCGCGAGCCGGTTGGCTGATCTCAGACAATTATCTCACGAATTATTCTTCTTCCCCGGCTATTTGGAGTTGAATAACCCGATTCAAGACTTTCGTCATATGACAAGCTCACCTGCTGCGGAGGTTTTGTGTCCTCGTCATAGGCTTCCTGGTACGGCAGTCCAGACACATCGTATGGTGAATCTAAAAATAAAATTTACGTCTGTTAATTCCATGCACATAGTGAAAGTACTTGATGTTCAAAAAAAATTCTGAGAAATAAATACTTGTTATATAGAACAGGGAATTTACTAACCAACATGCTTTTGAGATTTGACGACAGCGGCAAAGGGTTCTGGGCAAAATTGTTGCCGACTCAAGTTGTGGCTTTCTCTGTAATCATCACGTTGTGGGAGATAATGAGGGTGTGCAGGATAATCTGACTCGGTAGTTGCGTATCCGCCCATGTCGTAGGGTTGGTTAACGCTGTTGGCCGCAGCCGATTTCATCTGCCAAATGGAATCCTGCGAGTTGACCGACCCGCCATTGTTTGAGTTAGAATAGCTGTTGTCCATATATCCCATGTTGACACCTGTAGGAATTGATTTGGCGAATTAGTTACGCTTCAAACAGTTCTGCTTTCGCATGCTTGTTAAACATTAACCTTTCAAAGCCAAATAAATTGATCCGATATCTTAATTCAATTAACCCAAATCATCACTCCAACTATTCAGGAAAACTTTTTCAAAACTATCATTAACGGAATTCATTTAAATAATTTAATTAATTTAATTAATTTAATTAATTCAATTAATTTAATTAATTTAATTAATTTAATTAATTTAATTCAAGTTAATTTTCCCCATAGAATATGTAAAGGAAGAAGGAAGATTAGGATTTCCGTTTGGATTGAGCTGAAGAATAGACATTGTCGTTGGCAGAATTCTGAGAATTATTCTTTGATGTAATCATGCAATTAGAATAAATGTTAGTTAGCCGAAGAAATAGTGTTAGTAATATACCCAAACATTTACCATTCTCACCATTGATGTTGTGATTCGGTTGGTGGTAACCATATCCAGTTTGTGCGTAGGCTGGGGTCTTTGAATCCTCAAGTGCCAAGGCGTGGTCCAGACTATGCTCCAATGCTTTGTTCTCTGCATAATATGGCGGTGGTGCTTGACTCTGTTGGCCATTTCCAGTCACCAAGCTCGGTCGTACTCTGCAATTTGCAAAAATAAATTCATTAATAAATTACGAAGCTAATTTCCATTTACAAAACAACTATAAATTCTAGTCGCAATCATTTTAGAATTTCAAATTTCTTTTTTGCCAGAAAGTATGACATTAAATAAATTGGCGAGTGATTGCAAAAGAAGGAACAATGAAAGGATATAATGAATATAGAAAAAGGGAAGACAAATTTTATCCAGTTTAGGTGTCTTTCTTTTCTAAATTGCAACACGAGAAACGATCTGTGAGCTTAAATCAATTACCAAGATGGCAAAGGAATGAGATATATAACTTGCTAACGAGATTGTAAGAGATACTGTTGACAAAGGCAATAAGGATAAAGAAAGATAAAAACAAAACAGCTTTTCTCTTCGTCAAGAAAATTCTCTATAAAAGAAAGAATTACTCGAGAAAATGTTTCTTGTTGCCGAACGATGTCTCTTAAATTTTCCGAGTTCCAATATGTTGTTTGCTAATACGCAATGAGTAATAAACGAGAGAGTTTGTAAATACGGTCACTTAAAAATAGACATTTCCAAGCTTGAAACTCGTTCAACTTTTTTTTTTATGGTGCAATGAAAAAATTTTATACAACTCTTTTTTCTAAGCCCAAGATGGTCTTTCTCTTATTTGGGTCACTGTGATTGGAATTAAATTCTAGGCGACAAATAGTTGAATAAAATGAATTATTATCGATAACGGATTATTTGTCCAGTTTGTAACTATCGAATATTAAAACTGAAATATTTATATTCCTGTCAAAAATATGTAAAGTTATGATAAATATTTCTTTTTTTTCCTCTTATTGATAAGGATTATTGGAAATTGATAGAAAATCCTATGAACAGGAATTGAGTTTCCTCTTTATCCATACATCTTGGGAGGATTATAAGAGCGAATATGCTATCATAGTTGAGTGAGTATGTAGGTAGATTGCCTCGAGGACGAAGACGATGTATGGTCCTTGGTAAGAAGTATCAGATAAGATGGTTCGAAAAAAAAAAGTTCTTTTTATTTCCTTTACTCTCTCGAAGCCCAACCATCTTCTACATAGCTTCTCTCCATTTTCTCCACGACTCGATGAGAGTTCCATTTCACGCTTTACGGTTTCACTCTGAATTACGACACTGGAACTATGGGAGATTCGCCGACGGACAACGATGGAACGAGAAAAAAGTGCATACCGCAACGAGAATATAGATTGTTTGAGAAAATGAAAAGTAAAATTAAGTTTGAAATACTTACGCATTAGAATCCATTTCGTAGTCTTTTGCCTTCGTGGCATGTTTCCTGCGGAATCGACAAAATAGAAGAACCAGTGCAGCAAAGAGTAAAAATACAGCTCCACTAACTAATAATGTAACCAATGTGGGTGTGGTCAATCCTCCCGTTTGAGCGATAATCGGCGGACCAACTGGAAAATAAATTACAACTTTTAATTTTTGGCTCATTTTCCCAAAAATTTTCGATTTTCTAAAATAATTACTACTTACATGCTGCCTCCATGTATTCTCCGCATTTTTGCCGATCAGCTTTGAGGCAAAGTCGAACCCTTATTTTTGGTTGGAAATTATCGAGTTCAGTGTCATGGAGATGATTTTGTCTGTGGGTGGATGCACTTCCCATGACCTCGAGTGGCCACTCTTCGGTTTTCTTCCACGAGTTATCTGAACCGCCGTCCAACCTCTCGATCGATGCAACTAGAGCCAAGCAAGTGGCACCAACATTCATGGACAACAGGAAAGTTTCCGGATCGTAAGTGACTCTCATCGGCATTGGAATTTTGGCCACAGCAGTCGTTGCACTAATTTCGTCCGAATAATCCGAATGATTTTTCGTATTATACACTTTGACCTTAAAATTGTAGGTCTGATGTTGATCGAGATCGGTAATATTGCAGGGATTTGATTTTCGACAGTCAAGCTCTTGCCATTGACCGTTGGGTGGTCCTCGTGGTGGAGCACAATCGGGAACAATAATATCTTGCTCGCTTGCAACTCTACGATATGAGATGAAGGCTTTAGTGATTGGTAATCCTCCGTCAAAACCAAGATCCCATTGTAGTGTAACATAAGTTGGACCAATGTCAACTGCACTGATACTATTTGGTCTCTCTGGTGCACCTTTAGGTTGAAGTTTTATGATGGATGTAATCGAACCTTGAGCATTGGCAGCACGACAACTGTAATCTCCATAATCGGCATAGCGAATATTACTCATTTTAAGAACCGATGTGTAAACATCGTAGTTATCACTACTGGTGGAAATTTCATAATGTCCATCACTGGAACCTTGTAGGGGAGCTGCGTTGGTTCCGAAACTCCATTGAAATTCGGGTTTTGGCCACGCTTGAACCTTGCAAGCGACTTCTGCAGTATCTTTCAAATCGTAGGCAACTTTTCCGTGTTGATGGAGAACTATCGGAGCGTGTTCGACTTTCAACATCATTTGTGATTCGACTTTTCTTAATTCGTTAGAGAAGACACAGGTGTATTTACCACGATCGTTGGCAATTATTTTGTCAGTCTCAGGACGAGCGTGACCTACGAAACTTAAGGTACTGTTAACAGTGATAACTTTACCGTGACCTTCGGATGTTGTTGTTGTTACTTTATAGAGTCTCTCATCGGCTGTGAGTTCCTGCTCGTCTTTAAGCCAACGAACCATGGGTCGTGGTTTTCCTTGTCCTACACAAGTCACTTGGAATGAAGATTCCCCAACTTTTCTGGTGACGTGAGGATGTGGTTTGGCTAGAATTTTAGGAGGTTGGATGACCGTGAGGTTAACGGTTGCGGGTTCTCCATTACCGATTTCGTTCATGGCGTAGCATTTGTAGGTTCCTTCGCTGTTTAGTTGAACTGATTCGATTACATACTTGGGACCGGTGTGTTCTGTCGACAGGAGAATGCTGCCCAATTCTCCTTCTTTGTACCATTGGTACTGGGGTTCTGGATAGCCACTAGGATTGGCCATGCAGGTGAGGATGATTTTGGATCCTTCGACAGCTTGGGGAGAGTCGGGGGTGATTTTTGCAGGTCCGGGCTTATGTCTCACGCGAATGGTGACTTTAGAACTGGCAGAGTGGTTTTTTCGGTCACCACCACTGGGATGAATGTTGTTAATCGCTCTACAGGTGTAGTTTCCAGCTTGGTCGGCAGTAACTCTGGTGAGTCGGAGGATATTACCATTCTGTCGGTATTCCGGTCGGCCTTCTCTCAACCACTCGACGATTATTGGTGGGGGATTGGAAGAAACGTTGCAGTGAACAGTAACGGAGTCTTCGACCTCGGCTATTCGGATGCTACTGCCTTCGATGGCAACCGTTGGTGGATAGAGTACGTCCAATGTAAGGGATGCTTCTCCACGCCGACTGAGACCATTATCAGCCTGGCACTTATAAACTCCAGCGTCTTGAAGCGTAACTTTTTGAATCATGTGTACTTTACTCATTGCAACGAAATTCCCGTCCTTCATCCACTTTACCATCGATACCGGTGGTTTTGAATCGACCGAGCAATTGAGAGTTGCAGTTCCATTAGCCTCGACTCGAAGAGGATTTTCAGGACCAACGGAAACTCTTGGATAATAGCTCACGTCGAGTCTGACTGTTGCTTTCAATGAATGACCGGGTTGCATGGCTCGATTTCTAACATCGCAAAGGAATGTCTCTCCATCGTCATCCTTTCTTGGTGTTACTGTGATGGTTCGTCCAGTTGCTATCAGTAATTCGTTTCCTCCTCGGTACCATTTAACTTCGGGTTCAGGACTTCCACCCAGAGTATTACAGTGAAGATCCAATGGTTCTCCTTCACGTGCTACAGCCATCATTGGTGAAATGGACGGTGGTCCCGGTGCTCTCAAAACCGTCAGGGTTATATTCTTATGATAGAGATTCTCTCCCGTACCACTGACTTTAACCCGACACTCATACTTTCCATTATCTCGCTCATAGGAAACGTTTTTAATTTCCAGATCATAGATTCCCGCATCCTGATTCATGTGGACTCGGTAATATGAAGCCAGAGCTGTTTGTTCAATAGCCGCATTGTCGTGCACGTTGTTCCTGTGCGTCAACCAGAAGTAAGTGGCATTCTCCCTGGGAGGGGTGAATCGACACTGAAGTTTCACTGTCGAACCCTCATGAGTGTCAACTTGCGATTCCTCCGCCGCTTTCACGTTCACAAGCACTGTAACAAAAAGAAGATCCTAATTAGAAATCATTTTCTTCCTTTACGGGAAATTATAACATTCAATTAGTAAATTTTTGCTTTCGAATCGTTTTCATAAGGGGTGAAAATATTTAAAAGAACAAAAAATTGTAAAACGTCTTTTTCAAAACTCCCACGAGTGTCATACGTCGTTACCATGATTTTCTCAAGGAACAAGTGGTAAAGCTTCTTTCTTTTGTTCGTGCCAAGTGGAAGTTGGAAAAAAAGAGACGTCGCACGGGTGTATATTCGATCCATTTCGCTATACTATGAGGTACTCTCGAGACGTTACACAGGCAAAAATGCTTTCGATGGTATGACGGTCTCGTATACTGTACGAGCTTTTCACTTCCTCACGAATCGACGCTTGGAATTCTTTATGGGACACTTTAATGTTATCGTCCCCCCATTCTCCATTCGGCTAAAACCCTGCTTTCTTTATAGCACGTAAAGTATTAAGTTGCCGTACGCGGCTATTCTGACGAGTTCGTCGTCGAGTCTGCACGCATCCAACTTCGTTAAAGACAAAATTCCATGTCAGACTTTTTACAAGTGTATTTTATTGCCAGGTGTAATTGTCTCGTTTAATTTTTTTTCTTCACGATCCACTCCAGGGGATTTTATTACAGAAAAATAAAAGAACCATAATTATTATCATAGATTGAAAAAAGAAACTTGAAAAAGAATTTTAAACTGATTTGTCAGTGTTTTGGTTGTTTAATATGTGACTCCGTTTTGGGTCACTTTTAATCGAAACATTTCGAAAGGAGAAAAATCGAAGTGAAAGTTTATGGGTGAAAGTTTATTACACCAATTGGATTGTTATTTCGATTTTAGAATCTAGAAAGTTTGATGAATAGGAGACGTTTTGATACTGTTGTTGATGATGCTACCATATCAGGATATTGAATTTAGTTCCTATATGGTAGGTGAATTAAAGGAATTAGAGGATTTAAGGGAATGGGGCATTGGTCTGGCAACAGTGTTTATGAAAGAATTCCCTAGTAGCAATGTTGCCACAAAGAAGTTGGGTTTATACAGGAGAAACGCAAGGTATGCATAATTTATAATGAAATGAAATCGCTTAGGGAGCTTATCGGGCGACAAACGAGTAGCGACACGAGCGCGGAGCCGATTATTGGACACGGATGGAGAGAGAAAGGTGCGCGATGAAGCCAACGTACCGTTACATGACCCAATGACGACCCACATTTACTCAACGTCGTATATATATTCTTACTAAGAGAGAGAGAGAGAGAGACCTTTTTTTGCCACTGTATTCAAGCAACGCAATTTAATTGCATCTGGTCCATGCGTCAAACGGTACCGTGAACGTACATATATACACACAAATTCTTACCGAACAACGGTATTACGTTTCTGTCAGCGGAAAGACGGGTTTCACGTGTACACACATCTAAAAATGAACGAGGCCAATTTCAAAAAGCCATTCTAACAGTTTCTCATCCTCGGCTGCGGGTAAAAAAAAAGAGGAAAATCCCCGCGAGTATCATCACAGAACTGTTTCAACACAATCTCCATGGAGCAATTTACTTGGACGGAAATAAAAAATCTGTTTGTTTTGCAATAATACTGATAAGGGAATGTTTTCCTTAAATGAAAAATTCTATATTAGTTGCTCTAGTTGGTGAGAGTTGAATATTTAGATCGTCAAGACAAGATCCAGTGTGTCTGGATCTTATATCAATTTCTCGCGGGTATCAAGGGATCAAGTGAATTTAAGATAAAATATTCTTTTGATTTCTAACTCTCTTTCTTTCAGTATTAGTTCCTTTTGAATTCAGTCGATGCATAGGAAAATCGATTTCCTGAAAAAGGAGCATCCTTTTTTCTCTCTCCCTCTCTCTCTCTCGCTTCTTCACTCTCGTCGTTAAATAAATTCATCGTCTTCATCCTTTTCCCCGTCAACTTCTTGGGATCCTTTTTCTTTCATCTTCTTGGGTTTAACGACGATTACTTGCCTCGATGGTTTAAGAACGAGGAGATCCGGCTTGAAGGCGCACCTTGTAGGATGCTTCCAAGTACGTGGTTTATAATGGCGCAAAAGAACCTGAAAGCGGTTTTCAAGACCGGTATATAGAAAAGAGTGAAGTTGCTGCTGCTGCTGCTGCCAATGGGGGTGGTTGAAAATATTTGTGCGGAAAGAAGAAATGACGCGAGCTGTATATAACTCTTTTTACCCATTTGGTATAAAGTGCGATGCAGGACGTTATATTGCCACATGATAGTGAGATATGTTTATTCGAGGACTTCCAGACTTAATGGTTATTCACATGAATACTAACACAAGTTTATCACTTCAAAGGCCTTCCAGTTTCCCTCTTGTACTAGGATATACCTTAAATTCTTTTTTTGCTTAAAAAAGATTTGTCGAATATTTTGGATTAAAAATAAAGGAGGACTATCAATAAGCTCTTCCTGGAGAATCAAGAACCGTACAGTTTAATACTCGACAATCTTTTAAGTCCCGAATGTCCGAAACGTGAAAATTCGATCAGTCGAAATCCGCGCACCTTTGTGAAAATCAGATCATGCTTTAAAAAATTCATTTGACAAAGTACTTCATCTCCTGTTGTAAAATTCCCTTTGAAGTCAAGGTGGGTCTGGTTTAATGTATATAACTCCTGAAAGCAACTCAACTATGCGACATTGCAGGTCGAAGTTTGGCGTGCCAAGCACTATGGTTTCCTTTCGTCGTGTCCGCTTTAGAGAGCCCAGGCATAGTCAGAAAACTTGCCTAGTATTTTATCGACTTTTCCATCATATAATGGACCCAAACAGGGTCATATTGATTAAACTATATCTATATTTCTTATTTATAACCGCTCTGGATATTCTGATGACATACTCGTTATTAACATCGTTGAATATTTACTCAACTCGTTTTTTTGCTTGTTTGAAATCGCATAAAGTTTCTTTCTCTCTCTCTCTCTCTCGTTCTATACACACATTCATTTCAAGTGGGCAAAAAAAAATCAGCAATCGCGTGTCGGTTACAAATTTGTTAAAAGCAACTTGGAAGTCTATAGGAAACCTTTTTCCCCCAAGTTTCACGCGAGTACACTGCTGACCTAATCTACATGTTGTTATATAGTTTCCATAGTCGACCACTCATCCAAGTGGTGGTAGGATGGAAAACTTTATTATAAAGTCGTATCAGAATCTGCACTCACTTTAAGCCAAGTGAAATAAGTTTAGGGAAAAGTTTGTTTCATTTGGAAAGTCCTTCATCCCTCAAGTGGAAGTACTTTAGAGAGAATAAAAAGAGGTATTCTTTTGTCCTCCACACACACACAGCAATTTTCCAAAACGTTATCATTTTAATTATTCTCGAAATTCTACAAACTCTACAACGTCTACAATTTATACAATTTCTATTATTTCTACAATTTATACAATTTCTACAATTCCTACAATTCCTAGAAAATCCATCATGATAATTTATAGGACAAATTAGAAATACTTCCATTATTTTCTTGATATCCTTTTCCTCTATAGTTATACATTTCGTTATATCGATTTCAAATAAAATCAGGTCATTCTTACCGCAATAAATATCTTCTCACTGAGAATATTTCTTAATTGGAGTACAAAAAATTTATTTTCTCTCCAGAGACAGGTAATAAAGATTTCACTTCCCATTGTAAAACTGGATCAATTTGTATCATAGTGGGAAAAAATTGATGTACTATTCGGAAAATATTCAGCATCTGTTTCTTTTTTTTTAAATAATTCTGCAGTGATTGTTATTTGAAAAGAGGAGGGGGATATTTATTTTCCAAACGCGTGGCAATTTCTTGAGGAAGATCTCTCTCTCTCTCTCTCTCTCCTCTGTCCAAGACAGCAGCAGCATCCCAGTGACTTAAATGTACGGAGTGTACTCACTAAGAGAAATTTATAGTGGTCCATTGAAAGATCGATTTCCTTCGTCGCTAAGAACATGAAAGTAAAGGAGAGAAGGGGTTAAAAAAAAGAGGGGGGGAGAGATTCTCGATCCGCAAAAGAAGACAGGAGGACGCGAAACGGTGCTTTCCAAAGAAATTGCAGCGTTTCTCTCGCGAAGAGCATTTTCATTTGTTCCTTCACACACTTGTCCTCTTCAAGACACACGTATTACTCGAATAGCATGAAAAAGTTCCCCTGGACGACCCATACAAAACGGATTTTCTCTTTTGCTTTCTTTTCCTCTCTACTTCCTTTTTTTTCCCTCATCCTTTCCTTCCAAATGATGTCTTGGATTTTCAGCCATGCGAAATAATCGTTATCTTCACCATAATCGTTACAATTAAAATTTTCCCGATTTCTCAATACTACAAGAAAAATTAAATTTCTCTCTCTCTCTCTCTTTCTCTCTTCTGGTCCAAAGAAATTTTCATTTTATAATTTAATATTTTCATTGCCTTACTTTAGAAAAATCCGAATATATATGTGAATTTTAAAATAAGGTGAAAAAAGTTCTTCTGAGATAGAAATTAAAAATTTTATATCTGCTCTATAGATTCAATTGTCTCTTGACTTTAAAACAGAGACAATCCAATTTCAACAATTAAGGGGAATATTTCTTTTTAAATTTATAAATATTAATCATTTTCGGCTTTTATTAAAAAAAAATTTCGATTTAAATGTTTAACCATTTAGAGTCTGAATATCCATCTATAAAATGTTTAAAAAAAATTGCTAACCAAGTTTATTTAAAAATGATTATTGAAATACAAGGAAAGGGAATACAAAGAATTGCCTTATGCTCAACGGATTAAGAAATGGCTAACAATAGCTTCATTGTTTGCCACTATGTATTCTCGCCTCAAGGGGCAAAATCCATAATTGAGGGATGATGAAACAACAGTCTTATGGCTTGCTCTGACAACAGTCTCAAAGTTACGGATTAATTTTGATAAATACAAAATTTCAAAATCCACCTGTCACGAAATAGTTATGAAAACAAATAAAAAATTAGT